CATAAAAGAAGATGGTACATTTTAACCGCTCATTTAATAAATGGTTTAAAATACACGTATATAGAATTAATTAATATATAAATGAATAGTACTTGTGAATCCATCAAAATGTATTAATAAAAGTGACATAAGTATTTATTAATAGTTTATAAACAGCCAAACATATGCTTAGTTTCTTTTATTTCTTTAATATGCCCCTCTCTTCCTTATATAGTAAACTGCATCCTATTGGTTTTTGGCTATATATGTATAATGCAATACATCTTTATATTATAAGATCATTTTATATTCATGAAGAGCATAAATGTACCAAGGTCAATTAAAAAAGCATAAAAATGAATAGTCAGATTAGGGAAGTTGTCTCTCATGCAATATTGTTTTCTGCATTTTTTTTTTAAATAATTTAATACTTTTAAGTATATGTTCAATTCACAGCATAAATGGTACAACATAAAAGAAGATGGTACATTTTAACCGCTCATTTAATAAATGGTTTAAAATACACGTATATAGAATTAATTAATATATAAATAAATAGTACTTGTGAATCCATCAAAATGTATTAATAAAAGTGACATAAGTATTTATTAATAGTTTATAAACAGCCAAACATATGCTTAGTTTCTTTTATTTCTTTAATTATTTCTTTAATACTTAAAAAAAAAATACACCCATTTTTTGCCTCAAAAAACAATTGTGGAGAGTTTTAAGTTTCCCTTGTACTTAAGAGAGTTTAATTTTTCTAGTACTTCTTTATGAAATTCGTATGCAACATGTCATTGATGGAAAATATAAATTCAATAACAAATTTTTTTCATTTACTCTTTAATTGTTTACATTTTCAAAATAAAGTGATTCGCAGTTTTATAATATTGATAAATTAGATACACCAAAACCATAGGATTTTTCAATAAACTATATATGAAAAACTGGTCTATAGGAAAACTTGCAATTATAATTCCACTTGAGCAATCAAATAAAAATATTCCATGCTTCAAAAGGAGGGAATGTTATTATATTAAGATAATAACAAAAAGTCAAGAAAAGATAGGATGTAATCTATTTGAAGGAACTGAAACATATGCTTAGTTTCTTTTATTTCTTTAATACTTAAAAAAAAAATACACCCATTTTTTGCCTCAAAAAACAATTGTGGAGAGTTTTAAGTTTCCCTTGTACTTAAGAGAGTTTAATTTTTCTAGTACTTCTTTATGAAATTCGTATGCAACATGTCATTGATGGAAAATATAAATTCAATAACAAATTTTTTTCATTTACTCTTTAATTGTTTACATTTTCAAAATAAAGTGATTCGCAGTTTTATAATATTGATAAATTAGATACACCAAAACCATAGGATTTTTCAATAAACTATATATGAAAAACTGGTCTATAGGAAAACTTGCAATTATAATTCCACTTGAGCAATCAAATAAAAATATTCCATGCTTCAAAAGGAGGGAATGTTATTATATTAAGATAATAACAAAAGGTCAAGAAAAGATAGGATGTAATCTATTTGAAGGAACTAGGAGATCTAGCTTTTTGCAATAAATCTATCATTGTGTTTAAGCTGTTAATTAAATTAAGCTTACTTTGATTGACCAACTATTAGGGATTCGTGATTTTTTCTTACCAAAAGCTTAAAAAATTCCAAAGCATACAGTAGATAAAATACTGATGGGTGCTAGTCACATCTACTACACATCCAAATTATGTTCATACAATACAATATGGAACACACGACATAAATAGGAGCTGTGACAGGGTTGAGGTGTCCAACACCTCAGCCATTTATCTGAAATTTTTTCAGATCATTTCAAATCAAGAGCCGAACACCTCAGCCCTTGTCACAGGCCTCTATTTGAGCAGCAAAATTGATACAACATTCAGTATTGGAGATTGAATATTTGAAGGCTATATGTATTTATCCATGTCTCGCCAATCTTGAAATTAAAATAATTAAGCTTATTTTTTAGTTCAATTTACTTTTAGACTAGGGATTCGTGATTTTTTCTTACCAAAAGCTTAAAAAATTCCAAAGCATACAGTAGATAAAATACTGATGGGTGCTAGTCACACCTACTACACATCCAAATACAATACAATATGGAACACACGACATAAATAGGAGCTGTGACAGGGTTGAGATGTCCAACACCTCAGCCATTTATCTGAAATTTTTTCAGATCATTTCAAATCAAGAGCCGAACACCTCAGCCCTTGTCACAGGCCTCTGTTTGAGCAGCAAAATTGATACATTATTCAGTGTTGGAGATTGAATATTTGAAGGCTATATGTATTTATCCATGTCTCGCCGATCTTGAAATTAAAATAATTAAACTTATTTTTTAGTTTAATTACTTTTAGACCGTTTAATAGAAAATTAGATCAGATGAGCCAATTGAATTGAAAATAATAATAATAATAATAAAAATAATAATAATAATAATAATAATAATTGAAAATCGATTTAAAAAATATCAAATTATAGGTCAAAATTTTAAAAATTGGAATGCATTAGAAAAGGTTAAGAAGTCGTAGGTTTCAGTTCCAATCGGAGTCGATTCATTTCAAAACTAGATGGTTAACACTGAAATTTTATTTTAAAATTTTATACCACTAGTTCGACTCAAATCGACCTTTTTTATCCTTAACTCTTTATTTTTTTGAAATAAATTGCCATAATTGTTTGTTATAATTTCATTGGTTGGATATATTTCATGCAAATGAAGAAAGAGGCCTCATTCGGGAAATGGGTTTGGACTTTACCACCAAATGGTTGGCAGTGATACGAGATTCAGTCAGTTTCATCGGGTGCTTGTCCCAGATAAGGTATTGTATCGAAATTCAAAGATTTTTATACTAAATTTCACTATTGATATCACGCTCTTATTGAAAAATAAATTTCGTTCGCACGCTATTGACTTCCTAGTAGTTTAATAAAGTGGTAGAGAACACTCCACATATAATAATAAAGACAAGCCGAAATAGGTTTCAGTTCCAATCGGAGTCGATTCATTTCAAAACTAGATGGTTAACACTGAAATTTTATTTTAAAATTTTATACCACTAGTTCGACTCAAATCGACCTTTTTTATCCTTAACTCTTTATTTTTTTGAAATAAATTGCCATAATTGTTTGTTATAATATCAAAATTCAAAGATTTTTATACTAAATTTCACTATTGATATCACGCTCTTATTGAAAAATAAATTTCGTTCGCACGCTATTGACTTCCTAATAGTTTAATAAAGTGGTAGAGAACACTCCACATACAATAATAAAGACAAGCCGAAATATGTTATTCTTGACCATGTTTTCTTGGATTGCGTTAAAAAAAATGATAGGAGATTAGTTGCAAATCATGGAATATCATTAAGTGGACACGATAATGATGTAAGCATATATACTCATTAGGGTCTTCAATGAGATCTAGGCATATCTTCTTAGAGTTGACAAAACCCTATTTTTTTAACCCAAAAGCATGTGTTTGAGGTGAATCCAGTCATCATCTAGTATTCATCGATGTAGAAGAAAGACATTTGTGTTGGACAG